GGCTGGCAATGATCTGACGACTGTCACTCATCCCAGCAGCTCCCTGTGAGCTTTTGCCTCCCAGCACCCTTCCCCAGTCCCCTCTGCCAGCAGGAGTCCCTCTCAGGTGCTCACTGGGCATGGCAAGCCCTGGGAAGGCATTATCATAGCAGAAGTCTGGCTAACCCCCAAACTTGTTTAATCTAGTCTTCCAGTCCTCTTGCTCGCAGGTTTCCTGCGTCCTTGGCAGCAGCAGGGTGTGAGTGCTGGATCCCAGGCACTGCTCACCCGGGGGGTCTCCGGGGTGCCCAGCCCCTGCCCTGGGACCCCCAGCCCTGCAGCTCTCTCACAGCCTAGCCCCTGTCTTTGCACAGCCTCCCTGGACCTCGCAAGGCCCCCAACCTCTCCTGTCACCGTGCGCAGTGCCCCCGGGTCCCTGCTTGGACTCTTCCTGTCGCCGGGACATCATTAGAAATGTTAATTATTTATTATCACTAAAAGCCCTTTTTGCTGCATTGCTGTTCTCTGCCTACCTCTCTGCCCCGTGCTGCCTGTAACCGGATCCGCCTGTGCTTGCCTCCCGCCTCGCAGTCCCCGTCCCCGCTTTCCCTCCTGCCTGCTGGGACACAGGGTGGGGGAGCGAGAGCCTCCCACCACCCCGGGCAGGACGTGGCCCTATGGGACGAGCTGGCCTTTTCCCCCTGGGATCCCAGAGCCGTGTCTGGTACGGAGATGAACCAGTAGCAGTGCCCAACCTGGGGAGCACACTGTCCCATGCCAGGAGAGGGGACAGGAAGACAGAGGAAGGACCTGGCTGGCACTGTGATGGAGTGAGGAACCATTAGCTCCTCTCAGCCAAGGACAATGGTATTCCTCCCCAGAAGCACCGGGATGAGGCTCCCTGGCCAAGGGATATCAGCAGAGTGGAGGCATCAGACTGTGCTGCAGCCCTCCTAGGCAACATCCCTCGCTGGGAAAGAGCAAACAGGATGAGGGGGAACCTCGGATGCTGTTTGCAGCCAGCTGGGGCTGGCAGGACACACTTGGGGCAGCCAGCTGCTTCAGAGAAGCCGTGCAGCTGCAAGGAGGCAGGGGAATGCCCAGCCTGCACAGCTCAGCCTCCTCTGCCAGGGCTCCTGAAAGATTTATCAGCTCCAAGTGGATCCCATTGATGAATCAATTAAAGCTTATCAAAAGCTGTGGAGTTCCTTCTCATGGGGCAGGGCTGGCAGTGGATGCAGCCGCTCTGCCACAGCCAGTGCTGGGTGAGACTGGGAGCTGCTTCAGGTTGCAACATCCCTGAGCACTGCTGGGCAGAAATCACCTCCTGGCAGCGTCCGTGCCTACTAGAGCCAGCCACGGCGCCCCGGTACCTTCTAGGGACTGTGGCAGACTGGGCTGTGACAGAGCCGATGGGAGCCAACTCGAGTCAACATAAAACCTGGATCCCTCACGAAATCCCTCCTTCGTGTTCCCGCACCTCCAAAGGGAGCCAGGCTATCCAGGCTGGCAAGCTCCCCAGCCCCGCTGCTGCACAGCCCTGCCCAGCGCTGGAGAGCGAGGCAGCAGCGGGAGGGAGACTACAGCGATGGCTGCGGGAGAGAGCCGGGGATGGCTCCCGCGGGAGCGCAGGGAGGAGCACCCGGGCCGCTCCCGGAGCGGTATTGATTCCTGCAGCACAAGCACTGCCTCCTGTGCCTATTCATTGTCGATGTGCAGCAGAACAAGGAGCAAGAGAACCTGCTCCCCCCTCCACAGCCAGCCCACACTCCTCGGGGCCGTACCACTTCCCTGCCCGCCAGCCGCCGGCAGCACCGGTGTCTGCCCGCACCACCGCCTGCTTCCCTGCATTATACAGCACTGTCACGAGCTGCTGAGTCCCCAGGTGTTTTGTGCAATAATGCAAAGCAGATCTAATCCACCCCAGCCCCAAGCTCTCTGCAGTCCCCTCCCCACAGGCTGAGTGTGTTCCCTGGCCAGGCATTGGAGAGAGACCCAGGACTGTGGGTGCTCTGCCTGCCCCAGGATCTGGCAGGCGACTCCCCTGTTGTTCCTGCACACCCCTTGCTGTTCCCCAGAGCTTTTCTCTGCCAAAAGCACTCTGTAAGCATTTGCTCTGCAGCAATAAATCAGAGAGATGCTCACACAAGCACGGGCCAGCCCTGTGCTCCCTGGGACCAGGGTGCAGCAAGGTGCTTGAGGCAATGCTCAGCCCCAGAATGTGGTTCATTCATTTCCTGTCTGCCTTCAGCTTGGTGGGGTTCCAGGTGGCAGTTCTCTGAACCCCTTGGGTTGTCTGGATCCTTTAGGAGTAGAGCAGAGCAACCAGGGACCCCTCTGCACCCATGCGTGGTCCCAGAGTGTCCCCAGGACTGGCAGGGATCTGACATGGATGCAACTGTCTTGGTTTTGGACAAGGTGGTTCCCTGTCCCTGGACCATACCTGGTTGTCCACGTTCCTCCTGCTCTAACCCTGGCAAGGAGCCAGGGAGGAGCAGCCAAAATCCCTGCCCCCTCTGACACCCCCATCAGCATGTTGAGCCAGCAAGTTCTCAGCTCCCTGGGAGCCCAAGGGGTCACAGGAATTGACAGGCTCTGTAGGGGTTGGGAAGAGGCTCCAGGGCTCACAGGGAAAAGGCTGGTCAGGGAGAGCTGAGGTTGCCCCATGCTGTCCCTCCCATTCCAAGGGCCAGGGCTGAAGCTGGTCGATGCTGTGCAAGCAGGAGCTGTATGCACAGCTCACTTGAGATCAGTCCCAGATCTGGGGCTGCCAACAGCTCCTTTCTCTCCCGCACTGCTCCTTTCAGCCTGTGCCTCCCCATGGCCCCAGCTGATGCAGCTGCAGATAAACAGACAAGGAGAGCCAGGCAGCAACTCCCGGCTTGCTCTGCTGTCCCCTGGGAGGCACAGACATGGCAGCTTTAGATCAAGACTCTTCAGAAGCAAGAACAATCCCAGCTATCAGCAGAGAGCGGCTGGCTGGTTTCCTGCATTCACTCTGCTGGGTACAAGACATGGGCAGTGGGTTTTTTGGGCTGAGGTACTGGGACCACTGATGCAGAGCCATGGGATACTGCAGCTCCCACCAGCACTGGGCTGCATTCCTGGGGTGTGGCCGGGCTGGGGGCAGAGCAGGCAGCAACAGGTGACCCCCTGTCCCAGAACTGGGAGCAGTGGGAGCCCAGTGCCACCCTGCTCTATGCAGAACTAGAGTCAGCCTTTAGGGTATGGTATCTCCATGCCTGGGAAGACTCCCAGGACACCTCAGACCACTCTAGCCCAGGAGAAGCTGAGCCATGGTCAAGCCAAATCCTACAGTACTATTCTGGGGTAGCTCAGGAACCAGTTCAGGTGGGATGCCCAGAACCATCTGCCCTTTCCTGGGGAGCATTGGGGTGCTAGCAGTGCAATGGGTCTCTGTCCCCATGGGTGGCAATCTGGAGGCTGTCCTTTGAGGGAAGCAGGAGCACAGACACAGTGGCTGAGGCAGCAGAGGACACAAGATAATTTTTCCAGTGGACAAAAAGAAGGGGGTCCTTCTGCAGCCCACACCTTGCAGTGTTTGGACTGTTTTACTGCTGCCATGGAAACTGCTGTGGAGCATCATTCTGTTGTACTGGCCGGGGTGACCAGGCCATGGCAGTTCCCAGACTTCCTCGTGCTCTCACACCAGAGTGGGAGAGGCTGGATGCTGCCTGCCAGTCACCAGGGCACCAAAGGAACAGACGGGAGAGAAACCAGGTAAGTGCTGGCAAGGGCTGTCTGGTGCCATTCCCAGACAAACCCAGCTCCCACGTGGCCAGGGGCTCCATGCTGCTTGGCCTCCCACAACCATAAATCATTTTCTAATTTATAACATGAATAATTGATTTTGCCTCCATAGCTGGCGATAAATCTCCTGTGCGCACATGCATAAGAAAATAATAATAATGAAAGCGATCAGGATCTGCTGCCATCGATTACCTGTGAGAGGGAACACGGTCCCCTGTGTGCCACATGAGGCTGGGATAGGAGCCGCTCCCTAGGGGATGCTGCGTGGCCCTGCCTGATGTGAGCTTTCCTCGTCCTGCGCAGGGGCACCTGTCTAAGGTGGGATGACGGTACCTACCCGCGTCTGAGCCCCTGGGGCTGTACCGGCACCCACACCGGGCAGTCAGGAAAGTCCAAGTACTTCAGAGTACCTCAGCCATCAGCGGTCCCAGCCTTGTAACTGCACTTAAGGAGGGATAAGGTGCTTGGCACAGCCCGCTCACGGATGCGGTGCGATGCCTCAGTGGCACCTCGCCAGGGTGGCCCGTGCCGGTCCCCTGTCCCTCGGCAGCTTCACAGTCTAGGGGGAGCTGCAGAAGCCGACCTGGCTCCCGCTGCCCGTCCCGGCACGGCAGGCAGCGTGCACGCCATGGGACACGACACTCCTCTCCCCGGGTCGCCTCTTCCCCGTACCCACACCATGCAGCCGGCCGGGGAACAGCCGGTTGGAAATCGCACCGGAGAGCTTCGGCTCGGTAGGAAGGAGGTCCTGGAGCAGGGAGTGGGCAGAGACCCGCTGCCCGTCAGCCGAACTAACCAGGGCGGCCGCACCGGCTTGCCCAAAGCCTTCGTAGGGCGGTGTCCCCGTGTCTGCCCGCCCGGTCACAGCGAGCACCACGGCTCCCGCCCGGTGTGCGACACCGAACGGACACGGGAGACCTACGGCAGCCTCAGGGGGGCCACGCTGTGTCCGCCAGCATCCCAGCCACGGAGCCCCCTTCCTGCGGCTGCCGGGGAAGGACGGCCCGCCGCGGCGCCGCGGAGCACGGTGCGCGGCGGCGGCGGGGAGGAGCGGCGGCCGGGCACGGTGCTCCGCGGCGGGGAGGAGCGGCGGCCGGGGCCCGGGGCGGGGAGGAGCGGCGGCCGGGCACGGCGCTCCGCGGCGGGGAGGAGCGGCGGCCGGGGCCCGGGGCGGGGCGGGGCCGCGCTACAGGTCCCGCACTACAGGTCCCGGCGCTCCCCACGGCGGGGCGGGCTCGGCGCGGCGGAAGCGGCGGCGCGGAGCGACGGGGGACCCGGCGCGGGCACTGGTAACGGCGGCGGCCCGGCCCGGCACGGCCCGGTACGGCCCGGCACGGCGCGGCGCTCGGTACCGGGGCACAGCGGCCCGGGGTGCGCACCCTGCCCGGTCCCGGCGCTGCCCCGCTCTCCCTCACCCTGGTGTCCCAGCCTTGGTCCTTACTCCCCGTCCCAGCCCTGGTCGTTATCCCTGTCCCAGCCCTGTCCCCCTGCCCTGCTCCCCTCGCCCTGTCCAAGCCCTGGTCCCCAGCTGAAGTCCGAGCTCCCCAGTCCGCTGGCAGGATACGCGGGCAGGGGCACACTGCAGACCCCACAGCTCTCCCCACCACAGTCACAGGGCGATGTGTCAGCCCTCGAGTGCGGGGGAGCTACACGGATTCCTGGGTGCTCGCTATGCCAGTCTGCCGGGCCTTGTAAAACGCGTCTGGTGCTCACACGTGCTGGACACTGCTTTTCATGGCTGCTTGCAGGCCCCTGGCATCCTCGTGTATCCTTCCCACCACCTGCGAGGTTCTGTGTGCTGCCTGCTCTGCGGCTGGCACAGCCCTAGAGTGGCCCATGGCACCATGCTGGTGACCAGATACGCCTCTTGCACATTTTGGGGTGGTCATCCCAGTCATTTGCTTTCTGGTGTATGTGTATTGTAAGGTTCTGGGCCTTGCCTTTCAGGCTGCTCTTGCTCCCTGAGTAGCTACTTTGGGTTATTTTAACTTCATTTTCCCAGGCTGGGTCTTGCTTTGTTTCCTGCTTACATTTCTTGGATCCTTTCAACCGTGTCTTTCTGCATGGTGTTTGCAACAGCTCACTGCTCAGTATCATCTAATGACAATTCATTATTCAAGTAGAAGTTTGAGAGATGCTGTAAAACGAGACCCTGAAGTTCAGCTAAGTATCAAAAAACTTTGCCCAGTGATTCTTCTGAAATAACTTCTCTGGGCAAGCCAGTGTCCATCATTCATTGTACAGGTATGCAGGCTCCTTTAACTGCCAGTTTTGTTCTGCACTGGGGATAGGAACAGGGTTTATCCTGTTCTCAGCTCTGGTTGTGTTGTCCTTTCTTGCAGAGAAAATTGTGTCTTGTTTGTTCTACCCATCAGCAGGGCCCTGGTTTCTCCTTGGCAGTGTGTGTCAGCAGGTTAATAGGTTCATCTCCACACTGGCCAGGCTGGCCAGGTGACTGTGTCTGTGTGGACATGCTGTTTTTGCTTTTGCTGCAGCTGTTTTTGCAAGGCCTCTGCCTCATTGGCATTTTTCTGTTTAAAAACAGTGATTTTTTTCCCTTTTGAGTCATCTTTATTTTTGAGACATCATTAATTTTCTCTCCCTCCTTGTTTATTAATAGATCTTTTCACTTTTGTGCTGATGCTGCCTGGTTATATTTGTAAAGTCCTTTGTATTCCCCTTTGCATTCTGGCTGTTAACTCCTTCTGCTGGTTTGTTGTCCCTTTCCTCTCCGGTGCCCCCCTGCAGCTGTGAGGGGACACTATTGACTTTCAAATCCTCTTTCTGTCTGGAATGTTCCCCTTCTCTTGTTCCAGGTATCTCCTAAGAGCATCTGTTCCAGGTGTCTCCTAAGAGTATTGCAAGTGAAAGGCACGATTGAAATCTCTCTCAGTGCCTTTGATGCTTTTGCCACCTCCTCACACAGCCAGTGTTTGCTGTGGCTGCTGGAGAGCTCTTTCTCCTGGCAGCAGGGGACAGGAGGTCTTAAAGCCTGCGGGGCTGCAGGCAGGAGTTGGATGGAATGCAGCTCTTTGCTCCTTGAATGCTTTGCGTTGCCTTGTACCAGTGGCTGTGTTCATGCCTTTGCTCTGTCTCCACCAGGAATCCGGGTCCTTTCCTGCCCCCTTTGGCCACTGTTGAGCCAGGTGGCCTAGGCTGGAGCTCTGCTGAGAGCAGGAGAGCTGCAAGGTAGCCAAGACCTTTGACAGTCCTTGTCTGGGCTGCCAGGGTCTGGTGTTATGCAGTTGGTAAGTGTGCCATGGCACGTGCCTGGCATGGGATGAGTCCTGCAAGTGGCAGGTTCCCCAGTGGAGCGGTTTAGAATCTCCTTGTACCTGCCTTTTTATTAATCTTGTTATTGTAGTTATTTTTTTCCCCTTCAAAGAGCTCAATCTGCTGCAGGCTGTAAAGAGTGACATTGTGGTGTGCAAGCCGCATGCCAAGGCTGCGTGAGGTCCCCCAAGGCTCCTGGTCCCCCAGTATTACCATCCCTGTTCACTGTCAAGGCTTTAAGGTTATCTACTCTATTGATGGGAATATGGATTGAGTGGAATTAGAAACCTCGAAGTCTAAAAATACAGCTCCCTGCCAGGAAATGCAGCAGCCTGCTGAGAGGGTGCTGTGTGGCACTGAGACTTCTCCAGGAACTGGCATGTTCCACATGAGCACCACAGCCCAGCATCCGTGCCTGTTCCCAGATTCCCTGAGCAGGACTGTGGCTGGCTTGCTCTTGTTTGTGGGGTACTTTACTTGACAGGACGGGGAGAAATTGGGGAGAAAACACTGCCCATGTGTGCTGCAGATGTTCACTAGAGGACAGGCTGGCACCTGACTGGGCAGCTCGCTGAGACCTCACCAACACCATGAGCACAACCTCCCCATGAGCAGGGTATTCCTGGGAACAATGTGAGAGGAGCCTGTGCCTTCAGGGAGCTCTGGCTGCCTCGTGGCTGATGATCCAGCAGCCTCCTGGCCATGCTGGGCTGTGCTGTGCTGGGCTGGTGGGCTTTATGTGGCAGACAGCTGGGCAGCACTCCCATCACCACTTTACCATGGTGCCATGGCCTTTTCCTGCTTGGTGCCAGAGTGCTGAGTTGTTTTGCTAGGCAGGTCCATAAAACATCTGGGGCAGCATAGGCCTTTTTGGGGATGCACTGCTTGTTGCTGCCTGTGTTTGTGGGGAAGGCTTGGTCCCAAACTCTGGAAGTGGTAGGGTTGTCCTGCCTAGCGTAGTGTGAATGAGACCCAAAGCCAGGGCTGTTGCTCTGCCTCCCAGAGCATGAAATTAGTCGGTGCTGACCCGTGGCTGTAGCATTGATGAAGTGTTTGATAGGCTGGGGGCAGGAGCTGTGCTGCCCTGTGGGGAAAAAACAAAGCGCTGTGGCATCCCTGCCAGTGTGGGTCATCTGCCACCTTGCCGTGCTTCTTCCCAGGATACAGGAATCAGCTCTTCCCCAGCAGTGTGTGGCAGGCAGAGGCAAAGCTGTGCAGGGAGAGGATGCTCCCAGCACCAGCCGTCTGGCTAATGCTGCACCATCTGCTTTGGAGGGTGAGGCAAGGTGAATGGCAAGTTTTTGAGGAGCCCATAAATCCTATGTGCAAAGGCTCTTGGAGGTGACATGGGACCTGCATGGAGCAATGCTGCTTCTGGTTGCTCCCCATGCTGGGAACTGTCAGGAAGGAGAGCCTGGGGAGATCACTGACCCCCACAAGACATTCAGCAATGAGCCATGGCCGAGGACTCCTGGGCTTGGCTGGGAAAAGCCCTTCAGCAGAACATGCTTCGGTGCAGTTGGGAGCTGTCTGTGGTTGGAAGTGGTGGTGCCGGGGGGCTTCCAGTGCCCCCTCCCCTCTGGCACCCAGCTGCCACTCGGTGAGAAAATGTATAATGCCTCAGTGTTGAAAAATGACTACTCCAGTCCTTGGAAGGTTTGTAGGATATGTTCCTTTCTTGCGGTCGATAAAGATAAAGGGGATCGTTCTGCTGGCAAAATTAGTGTATCAAAGATGGGGGGGGGAAATGACAAGAGCTACAGAGACAGAAAAATGGTTGGGGCAGCCCTGGGATGGTGCTCAGCATCACCACGGCACCCGTGCCTGCCCCTCATGTTCCTGCCCACCTTTGCAGCATGAGGGGCAGGCACAGGCACCGCGGTCATGCTAGGGGTACTGCCCTGCTGGGCTCTTCCAGTGGTTTCCAGTGAGCCATGAGAGACTCGTCCATCATGCCGAGGCAACGGTCTGTCCATCCATCAGGAAGAGGGGATGATGCCGTGTGGCATGGGCAGCCCCAGCCACTTTCCAGCCAGTGGTTGGCCTCCCCTCGCCTTCCCGGCACCACTGCTGGCTGCTGGTGAGGGGCCACGGAGAGCGTTCGCGCCTCGGGCAGGGGCGGCATGGAGGGGAGCTAATGTACCGGAGGTGCCTCGGAAATGAGAGCCTTGGATGGGTTCCTGGCCCTATTGATCTGCCGGCAGTTTATGCATCCTGACATTCATAATCTCGGTCGGCGCTGATGGTCCAGATTAATGGGCCCAGGGGCTGTCCATCCGTCACTTCACATTAATTACTGAAGAGGTGTTTTTCCAGTGATTTACCTGACAGCGGCCTGTGATGAATCCCCCTAAACGGAGTGGGCAGTGATTAATCATGGAGCCCCAGCCCAGCCCCACTCTGCCTTCCCCTCAACCACAGTGCAGCCCCCCACACCATCCGTCTCCATAACCCTGTCTGATGCATATTTATAGGGGCAGGGGGCCTGGCCGCTTGTGGTGTGCCTGCTTCTGCCAAAGATGATGAAAAATAAATCTCTGTCGGGACAGGCCAGCAGGTGAGCAGGGCTGCATCATGCCATGGTCCCGCGCCAGGGTATCCCTGCGCTGGGGTTTGCTTTCTGTTGTTCTGTGGCTGCCTCAGGCTTCTCTGTGGTTTTTGATGGCTGAGTAGTGCATGGTCTCAGAGTTCTGCTTCAGCTGCAGCATCTGCTAGTCCCTTTGGCCTGCAGGTCCCAGGTAGCAGCTGCCGGAGCGGAGCAGGTGCCCCAGTGATTCTGTCAGGATTTCCCTGCTTCCCCCAAGCTGGATGTGCCCCACAAGGGCTGTAGGGCTGTGGGGTGCTCCGGGCCCCAAACCCTGTCTGCAGATACACTGCTGTGGGGCCGTGCTGGGGCTCCACAATCCATCACTGTGCGCCAGTTGCTGAGGGAGCAGGGCTGGGTGCTGGGACCCGACTCAGGGACCTGGGAATTGAGCCCCGCTGTGCGCTCAGCTGTGGGGCTGTGGGGCTGCGGGCGGGACAGTGACGCTGTTCTCTCCTTGGCAGGCACTGGTGGCACCATGCAGCAGGAGGTGGAGGGCAGCCGGGCACGCCGCAGGAAGCCCGACATGGCGCTCTACGTGCCCAAAGCGCGGCGGGAGAGAGAGGCACAGGCGGCAGGAGACACACGGGCTGGGCACCGCCGGGAGCCTGAGAACCACCTCCGGGAGCCTGAGAACCACCGCCGGGAGCCTGAGAACCACCGCCGGGACCCCGAGAACCACCGCCGGGAGCCTGAGAACCACCGCCTGGGGCAGGACTCTGGCTGGGCCAGTGGCGAGGGGCAGAGGAGAAGCCCCCGTGTCAGAACACAGGCAGGCAGAGTGGCAAGGAGGGAGAACAAGGTGGATGCCGGCCCAAAGGTGCTGCGGACAGCCTCTGCCAGGCAGAGCCATAGGACGAGAGGCAGCTGCCCTAAGGCACTGGAAAGCCTGGAGGCATCACCCAACATGTGTGAGCCGTGCCCAGATCTAGCTGTTGCTCAGCCCTGGGACAGGCAGGACAAAGCATCTCATGAAGAACCTGGAGAGCTCAGCCATGACCACAGGATAAGGACTGAGCCTGACCCTCCATCCCCACAGAATGCCCAGGCTGGAGATGTGAAGGCTACCCCCGAGCCTGAGGGTGACCCCACTAGCCCAACACCCGCTGCTAGCCCAACAATGGTTTGTCAGACAGGCCTGAGTGGCATATTGGAGCATTTGGAAGACAGCACTCTAGATCCAGCTGGGTGCCTCTCCCAAAGCCTGGGAGAGGCTGTCCTGCAGTCTGCAGGGGTGGGCAACCATGGAAGGGTGCCCCAGTTGGAGGGGGAGACAATGGGTACGAAAGCCTGGGAGGAGGAGAGAGAGGAGGAGAGGTCTCTCCTGGCAGAACAGAGCAAGGCTTGTGCCACTGGGGTGCCAGAGGAAGAGGAGACGTGTGAAGGCAGAGCTGAGCTTCCTGGGGAGAGCACCTTGTGTGCAACAGGAGCCAGCTGTGAACCTGTGTTCCTGAGGGGCAGCACAGGCGATGTTCCAGTGCTCCCAGGGGAGAGCACTCCACAGCAGGGCATGGGCAACCCGTCCCAGCTCCCGCCTGTCATGGAGGAGAGCGCTGCTGGTGCTGGGGATCCCAGTGGGGAGGGTGACCTGGTGCCTGCTGTAGTGGAAGCAGGCAGCACTTCTGCCTGCACAGATAGCAGTGCTGGAGCTGAGAGCAGCCCGTGGGAGGGAGCACCTCTGGAAAGCTGTGAGCCCCTGGTGCCCCTAGAGCAGCTGTGCCACGGCATGGAGGGGATCTCACCTGCGTCCTGGGCCAAGGAGCTGGCAAGGCCAGATGAGGATGTGGGCTCACTGCAGAGGCAGCTGGAGGCTGAGAAAGAAGAGGGAGGTCTCCACAGCAGCTCCCCTAAGGAAGGACAGACCAGTGCCGGTGCTGAAACCCTGAGCCAGACCAGCCCAGGTGCTGAGGAGAGCTGGGATGTGCTGTTCAATGATGATGGGGACTGCCTGGACCCACGCCTGCTGGAGGAGGTACTTCTGCAAGCCAGTGTTTGTGGGCATTGGCAGGGATGTGGGGGAAGTCTGTTCCTGTGTTCTCTGAGGTGGGTACATGGGGTGGGTGGGCTGCACCCAGGGCATGGTCAGCCTAGCTGGCTGTGCTGTCTGCACTTAGAGCCAGCCTTCCCCTGTGCTGCTGAAACATCTGGGATCTCCATCTTCCCCATCTGTCCCACCCCATCCTGCGTTGCTGTGGAACACTAGGGTGATCATCCCTCTGTAGCACATAAAGTGTGCCCAGTAAAACCTGCTGAGGTGATTTAAACTGCAGCTGCACCCTCATGAAACCAGGGCAGGTGATAAAGAAATGGGCTGAGGTGTATGGGATCCCGCTGAAACAGCAACGGATGTTTCCTTGAAACTATGGCTTCTTAATCAGCTGTGGCTCATTGCCATTCCCTCCTGCACACATGCTGCTGAATTTACTACAGTTGGCTGCTTAGTGCCAGGACCCACACGGTTTTGCTGCCATCCACGAGGAAAGCTTGGCTCCTGCAGCAAGGCTGGATATCCCTTATTGCATTTTAAATCAGTAGCATCAAACTGGTAATTTTCTAAATGACGTTAATGTACCTGAGGAAACAAACAATGTTAATATTGTTACATCCAGAGTCTGCCTACCCCTGGCTTGGAAGCAGGGTGTGAAGTGATGGGTGGTACCTTGATAACAGCATCTGTGAAGGGATCAGATTAACTCAAGAGTACTCTTACTGAGGGGCACAGATCCCACCTTGTCTGCAAGGCTTTACTTGGGCTGATGAGTCCTCTTGGAGCCTAGCATGGTGCTGAGATGGTGGGACACAAAGGGCTCACATTTGGGGAGATGTAGAAGGGCGTTGGGTATTCCCATCCTTGCGTGGCTGTGCTCCCCTGAGCCACTGTCCCTCACCCTCCAGACTGGAGATTGTGGTGAGTGCTGGTGTGAGGAGGACAGCACTGCTGCTCTGAGGCAGCTGGTGCAGGTGGCATTGGCTTTCTGTGGGCTGATGCCATGGGCATGGCTCGCCCTTGGGGGAGGACGGTCAGGGAGGATCCCTGTTACGGTGTGGCCATAGGATGCTGTGGGCAGGGTTGTGTTGTGCAGTACAGGTTCTCACTCCAAGGAGTACCTGTATTGGCTCCCCTACGCACGAGCTCTGAGACAAGTTTGAGCTTTCCAGGGAGCTTCCCAAAATGGGTGAAAAAGAACCTGAAATAGGGATTTATCAAAAGTTGCCATCTTTTTTCCCTTGCAGATTCCTTCATGGCCCCTCCTGAGCCCTCTGAACTCCCAGCAGGTGGATGTAGCTGCCTGGGGAGGGCGCAGGCTCTTGTGAAGATGGAGCTGTTGTTAATTAACATAAAGAACGGGAAAATTAGTAATGTTTTCCTCAAAACCGAATCCTTATGCAATGCAGATAGCTGGCAGAGAGCAAGATTTATGATGTTCTGTGTGGAGGAGAGATTTCTGATAGCGGATGGCTCTTTAATCTAGCAGGAAAAAAACACCGTAGTGAGCACCATTGGCTGGAAGCTGAAACCAGACAAATTCAGAGTAGAAATCAGTTTGAACACAGAGTAATTAAGCACTGTGACCATTTCTGTGCAGGCTCTGTGGGCTCTCCATCAGGCAGTATGGCATGGCAGGGGCTGCGATGCGTGCGTGCGTGCCCAGGGCTGTGGTGTAAGCCAGCAGCCACAGACCCCTCTGACAGGCGTGTGTCTTCAGAGAGCAGCGAGATGTGATGGACAGGCGTCATTTTCCCTGTCATCTGTCTGTCCATCGATCAGCGAACCCTCCCCAGGGTGCCTGCCGTGGCTGGGGACCTCACCACGGCTCGCACTCCCTGCCCTGCCCCATGGCTGGAGCTGTGGCTCGCTGTGTGCTGGGCTGGCAGGGCTGCAGGACCTGTTGAGCCGTGCCTGCCGCCAGACGGCTCCTGTCCTTCCTGCCCCGCCACACTTGATGATTTGTGAAGGTCAAGGGCTGCTCTGGCACTCTGTGCTCCTGCTCTCTAATCATCTTCCCAGTGCCTGGCACTACCTGAGTGCTCTGCTCCCTCAAGCAGCACTACAGGGCTTAATCCTGCCTGGGAATGGCTCCCTGGCTTCCCCCGAGCAGGCGCTTGGTGCCTGATGAGCGTGCTGCCCTGTGCAGGGGTGATGGCAGGGCAGGAGGCTCTGCTGGCAGTGCTGGCTTGTCCCGTGAGCTCCATAACTCAGCTCTACCCTCCACCAGCATCCAGCCTCTATGGCAGCACCCCCTCACCTGCCATGAATTCATCTTCCCCGTAAAATTGTCGGAATGAGCACTTTTTATCGACTGAGCTGGCTGGGATTTATGGACTCTAACCTTGTAGTGGTGGTGTGCTCTGCTATGATCGCTTAGGGGATCGGAGTGGGAACCTGCCTGAGTTATGTACCCATTTCTTGTCATCAGGCCAGCCCCACGCTCCAGGGGGAACAGGGAGCTGTCAGTGGCTTTGGACTGCACCTGGCCTGGTGTCTCAGCTGAAGCAGGACAGTGAATCCCCTTGGCCACTGGCACGGCATGGTTTGGAAAGCACGGATTCAGCAAGCGATGCAGGGCAGCCCTGGGCAGAGCATGGTGCAGGGTGACCAGCTGGCACTGGCAATGCCGTGGGACAGAGGGAAATAGGGGCTGGCTGCACCCTTGTGTTGTGGCAGCGGGAGGCTGCTGCCTGTGTTTTGAAATAAAGGCTGAAAAATGCTCAAGGTAGAAAAGCTCTACAGCCCTCATCTTTTAGGGCTGGAGAAAGTGCTCCGCTGTGAGGTATTAAAGGTGCACAATCCATTTTATCAATAAGAAGGTTGAGAAGGGACTTGATTAACATTAGTAAGTGCTGTGATGGGGAGGAGACATGGGATTGGAGGTTCTTTAATACAGCGGAGAGGCAGAACAAGAACTGCTGGCTGGAAAGTGAAATCAGGCAAATTCAAATAAGAAATAAACCATACATTTCTAGGTGCACAGGTGATTAACCAGCAGAACTTGCTCCTCAGTGGAGCACTGTCTTTTTCATTTTGGCCTCTGGGGTGCTGATAGGCTGCTCTGGTGCATGTGCTGCATCCATGGTGTGCTGAGCCTGGTGCTTCCATATGGCAGAGAGACATCAATCTTTCCTTCTGGCATTACTATCCTGCTCCTTGTTCTTCCCCTAAGGTATTTCAGGTCATCACATCACTGTGGAAGGAGGGGTTTGCTTGGAGATGCATGTGCTGTTTCACTCTTGCCATTCCTGCCATGTCCCTGACCTGGCCACAGAGTGTGGCAACTGAAGGGATGCTGGTAATGGGAAAAACAAGTGCATAGTGTGAAAACCCTGGTTGATAACTCCTAATTCTCAATGCCATTAATCCATCTGCAGTGCTGGGGTGCAGGGGCCTGGACAACTTTCTGGTGAGCACTTGCCACAGTTTGCGAACTGCTGTGAGGCAGGTGGGCGTGGGTTGCTCAGTGCTGTGCCTCTCCTACTACTGCAGCTCTCAGGGGGTGAGAAGCACCAGGAGATCCAGCAGTCACCCCGCTTCAACTACTATGGGGCTGAACCTGCTGCTCCAGACATCAGCGATGATGAGCTGCCCCACGTCATCGAGATCTACGACTTCCCCTCGGATTTCCGCACCGAGGATCTGATGCGTGTCTTCTGCAGCTATCAGTGAGTCTGCCAGCACGCTGGCCCTGGTGCTGGGGTTCCCTGCCTGGGCTCTGTTCCAGATGGCTGCCCATCAGGTATCCCTGCCTCGCTGACCTTCCCTCTCTTTGGCAGGAAAAAAGGCTTTGATATTAAATGGGTGGATGATACGCACGCCCTGGGCATCTTCTCCAGCCCCATAACAGGTACTGCTCCTGGTTCAGCTGGGGATGGGCAGAGAGGAGGCATCACCCTCCCACAGCCAGATCCTGGGCACGGGGCTGACCCTGCACGTGGACGTGCTGCTCTCTCCCTGCAGCACGCGATGCCCTCAGCACCAAGCACCTGATGGTGAAGACACGCCCTCTGTCCCAGGGCACCCGCGCCTCTAAAGCCAAAGCCAGGGCATATGCTGGTGAGTGCTGCTGCCCTGTGCCAGCTTGTGCCATCGTGCTTGTGCTGCAGCATCATCCTGATTACTGGGGAGGGATGGGGCAGCTAGCATGGCACCACAGCTGTGCCGGCCACCCTGTCCCTCCCAGAGTGCCCCACTTATGTCCCCCCTCTTCTCAGAGTACCTGCAGCCAGCCAAGGAGCGCCCTGAAACGTCAGCTGTCCTGGCCAGGCGGCTGGTGATCGGTGCCCTGGGGGTGCGGAGCAGGCAGACACCAGCCCAGCGAGATGCCGAGCGGAGGAAGCTGCAAGAAGCTCAAGGTGAGTTTTGGGTGCCTGGAGGGCCTTCCTCATGCATGCTCTGTCTCACAGGGTGCTGGGTGAGAGGGGCCTGCAGCAGGGTGGACTCCAGCCACTTCCACAGGGAGGTGGGGTGGTAGGTGTGGCATTGACCCTCTTGTCTCTGCAGAGAGGAAGCGCCTGGAGAACAAGCAGCGGGAGGATGCCTGGGAGGGCCGGGACTGAGCCAGGAGGCTGCACTTTCAGCCAATGTCCCTCTCTGCAGGCAGGCAGAGCACTCTGTGTCTCAGAACTGGGACAGATTCTGCACTGCATCCGGAAGCACTGGGCTGCTTCACCGAAAGGGCTGAGCAGCACGTGGGCTGGTTGGTGCTGTGAGGATGCTGTTGCTGTCAGGCAGCACTGCCCACCCTGCCCAGGGCAGAACCCCCAGGGCTGCCAGTCACAGCAGGAGCAACAGCAGGATGCAGGGAGCTCAGCAGAGAGCATGGGGGGCTGTGTGGGGTGGCCCTGGCCACCTGGAAGGGCCTTGTGAGTGAGAGTTTCTGTCCTTTATTTTGCTAATAAATGCCATTTATTTTGTTTGCCTGGGTGGTGGCTCCTCGTTCCCTTCATACCGGGGGAGGGTGTGCATGCCTGGGGCAGCTGCGCATGATCCAGAGCCGCTGTGGGGATGTCCACCCCTCCCAGGTGCTGGGTGTCCCCAGAGGGTGTGGGGGATGTGCAGGCAGGAGGGATCGGGCAGGACGGCAGGCAGGAATGTGCTGGCAGGAACCCTGTTTACTTCCGCGGAGCAGCTGCAGCCCTGAACAGCGGGGCCCTTGTCAGAGCATGGGCAGGGCCATGTTCCCGGCCCCACATGGGGCTCTGATGTGGCCATGCTGCCAGCCATGGCAGGCTGGGGGCTTCCTGCCCTGCCCCGGGGTGGAGGCTGGTACCTGGGACCTGCCTTTGGCTCTGCTTTGCATCATCTCTCAGCACCTGACAAACAGCCCTGTGTGCCCCAGCACTCCCACCCTATAGCTCTGCAGACTGAGCTTTTGGGGCCTTTCACAGGAGGTGAGGATGGGGATGATGCTTTTCTGCCACCACTACCAGCAGTTTGCATGCTTTTGGTCGCTGAAGAGCTCATGTGGCTGCCCTGTGTCCCCTGGCTGTCCCCCAGCTTGGCGGCAGTGGAGCTGGTCATGACCCCGTGGTGGTGGCTGCCTGCCCCTGCACCGTCCCTGCCAGCTGGGAGCCATCTCGGCTGCTGCTCCCGGATGCTCGTGGCTTGGCTGGTGGAAATTTCAGGGAGCAAAACTGCTCTCATGTGGAAAACATCTTCCCCGCCATCCGGCATCCCTCAAAGCCCGAGCCTGGCCGAGTGAGCCTCCACCAGCACGTGCCTTGCCACGGTCTCTGGCCTCGGGCCCCTCCAGTGCATCACCACCATTGTCAGCAGCAACTCCACGTGCAGGGACCATCACGTGTGGGTGCAGCCTGACTTGTCCTGGGCTGAGGTGGGTGCTGACAGCCCCCCACCCTGGGCTGGTGCCTGCCAGTGAGGCAGGAATGGACAGAGGTGTGCCAGGAGAGGGGTGGCACTGCCCCGTGGCTGATGATCTGGGGAACAGACAGTACAGAGTGTGTTGGTGACATTCCCTTTTATTTCCTGTTGTAAGAAAAAACATAGAAACCACGGGAGGTAAGAAACAGAGAGCAAGGGCACCATGTTCCCTGTGTCCCCACTCTGCCCAGGAGCAAGGGCTTTGAGGGACAGAGTGGCCCTACCACAGCTCCCATGTCTGGGAAGCTGCCAGGACAGCCTGGGAAAGCCCAGCATGTCAGCTGCATACACTGTGGCTGCTGGGCTGGCTGCCAACCCATGCTGCCACAGAGCTGGCTGGGTCTTTTTGCATGCACAGGGTTAGCCAGTTCAGGGCCAGGGTGTCCTGGCCCATGGGGACCACTGATGGCAATCCAGAGCTGCTTGATGACAGCCACGTGTAGACAGCAAGGGAGTTGGTGGCCCTGGGTGGGGACACATTCCCTAGACTTTTGTTCCCAGCTGGGGACTGGCTTCATGATCTTAATAGGAAAGAGTGCAGGGAAAGGAGGAGGTGATGGTGGGATTGATAAAGGAGTAGCCCCTCTTCCACAGCACAGCACCCTGCTCCCAGCTCCCAGAACCTTTATTGAAGACAGGACTGGTGCATGGATGGCTGGGGACTGTCCTGAGTCTGCTGGAACATGGGGGACTGGGCAGGCTGAGGTAGTTGTCCTGGGGGGCCCTGGAGCTGTGGAGGTGAGGCCTGCTGCAGTACTTGGGCCACTCTTTCAAATCCCGCTGGCAGCGCGGGACTGGGCACCCCCAGGCACTCCCTGCCAGCCCTGGCGCTCATCTCCATCCTCTGCAGCAGCATCAATAAATACAAAAGTCTGCAAGTCCCTGAGCTCAGTCCGGTGCTGCCGGGGCACAGGGGCTGGGGTGTGGGAGTTGGACTCTGCCGTGGCGCTGCTGGGACCACGCTGATGCCAAAGGTTCACACGAGGTTGTTGGCCAGGCGCTCTCGTCTCTCCAGATCGCTCACCACGTCAGCACCGTAGGCATCACCTGGGAGAGCGATGATGTGGGGGTAGGTGCGCGTGTGGGGGGCACAAGAAACCTGTGGCACCCTCAGACTCATCACTTCCCTCACCCTGCCTGCCACAGCCCCTATGCTCCCATCCCTCCTTACTTGTGTGGCAGCCGTGCATCCAGACACGCTGCCCATCATACTTGCACTGGCACCTCATCACGTTGTTGGAGAAGTCCGACTCAGCCACCTCATGCTTGGGGTTCACGACCACCTGGGGAGGGCAAGGGGCAGGGCTGGGAGCACCTCTGCTATGCCCTGGCCAGGCACGGCTGTGGCATGCACAGCAGGGTACAGAGCAGCACCCTGATGTGCAGGGTGAGGGATGCTCATGGAGGGGACTCCCCAGCCCTGAGATCTGGTAGCTTGGTGTCCCCCAGCCCTCAATCCCCGTACCTGGAAGGTGTAGCTGCCCGGTGGCACATCGGTGATGTCAATCCACTGGCAGTCGATGTCATGGCGGTAGGTGTCCCAGCACCCCACACTCACCCCCTGCTCACCAAAGTTGGCACAGGCAAAGCGTCGCTGAAGACCTGCAGCAAGGAGGGGAGGTGAGGGAGGCACAGACAGAGCCCCTCTGGGGAGCAGAATGGGGCCCACTGTCAGCTCTGCAGCTAGCACCTACCTTCAGGGCAATTGGTGTCTTCCAGGCAAAAGCTGGCCTTGTGCCCCTCGGCCACCTTGGAGCCATTGAGCGTCAGCAGATCATAGTGGGTAAAGACCTCGATGCTGTGGAAGTGTCTGTGGGGACAGGGGCTGAGCACAGGACCAGTGCCTGGCCAGGGAGCATGTGGCTGGCCCAGGCAACCCCGGCAGAGCTTCCGGCAGAGCAGCACCCAGGGGCTCAGCAAATTACAACTCTGAAGCCAAATAAAGCCGTAATGACAGTGCTGGCTCAGACGCTGTTAATTACCCCGGGTGGGACAGCCTCTTGGGGATGGGTGCCACCATGCCCTGCCTGGCCCAGGGAGAGGGCAGCTCCCTGCCAGCCCCTGCCTATGGGCCACTCACCGGTGGCACTGGTGCCAAGTCCAGGCATGACGCCCCATCCTCGGTCGGAAATCGGCTCTTCCCAGGTTGTGGATCTGGGAGGAGAAGCGAAGAAGGCGGCGGTGGCCATAGGGCCACTGCATGGTGTCAGCAGAGCGGGAGAGGCAGCGCTCCTCATGGGCACAGTACAGCAGCCCCAGGGGTCGGTCCTCCAGGTAGGCTGTCTCCTGCACCAGCTGGGCATTCATCACCAGGTCTGGGGCGTCTGGCACGGAGAGGATCAGCAGGGATTGAGAAGGTGATCCCCACCCTGCATAGCACCCCCTACTCTCCTACAGGAGAAGGGGGGTGCCCCCTCCCAGCAGTACCCCATGGGCTCCTGCTACTCACGGGCAGTGCAGGTGACCCCTGCTGAGAAGCGTCCCCCGCCGCTGGGGCAGTGGACAGGGCCATGGCGCTGGCACTGCTGGAGGGCCAGCTCGGTGCCGGCACAGCGCACCCCACTCATCACAACCTGGGTGGCATCGGGGCTGCCCGCCCAGTACCACGTCTCCTGAACAGAGGAGGAGCACAGTGCTTGGACAAGTCCTTGCAGCCCTTGCCAGCTCCCACCTGCCTCCACTCCCTCTTCTCCTGCCTGAACACTGCCACCAGGATTTGTCCCCCCACCATCCCATCCCAGAGCCCCTGGCCACAGCATGCCCACGCTACCCATCCTGCAGGACCCCTGCAGTTCTGGCCCCAGGCTGGTACCCCACTCACCTGGAGGGCATGGCTGGCAAAGCCCAGCCCCAACTGCCTGCAGACCACCATGGCCTCGTTCAGGCCCCACTGTGCACCACACACTGCACCCCACTGCAGCCGCCCCTGCACTGGCACCAGCACCTCCACCACGCCTTCCTCGGGGTTGCGGCCCCCAGCCAGCCGCACCTGTTGGCAGAGAGGCGCTGAACTAGAATGTGGCACAGACTGTCAGCTCTCCCACCCCATGCTGCAATGGGACAAGCAGCCCCACACATCCAGCTGAAACATCTCACTCATTTTCCTCTTCCTCCTTTCCTCCCTGCAAGACCAATTTGCCACCAGATCATCCTGCAGAACCCCATCAGGGTGCTGCTCTGTGTCCCCCCATCCCCTGGGTCACCCCAGGGCTGCTCTGATCATCCACACTGGGCATAGAGCTCGGGGAGCAGGGACTGTGCAATGGGGCTGGGGTTCAACAGGCCACCACACCCTGGGGAGGAGGCAGGGGCTCACCTGGCTCTTGAAGTCCATGTAGGGCATGTGGCAGCGGACGGCAGCGTCGGCCTCGTGCCGACACCCGCTCTGCTCAGCATCCTGGAAGCGACACTCGCCCAGGGAGCGCTCATGGCCAGTGCACTGTACGTTGCTCATATGGATGGGCCCCAGACCTAAAGCACAGGAAAGGTCAGTGCTTCCTGCTCCATGACCATCCTGGAGCAGGACCCTCATCCTCCTTCCCCTGATCTGGGCATTCTCTATGAGAATGGGGCTACCCATGGCAGGAGCAATCATGTTAGCCTCATCCCAGAGCAGACTGGAGCTGCGTGAGCATCCCAGGATTCTCCAGCAGGACACATTAAACCAGTTGATTTCCCCATCATACCCCTCCAAGCCCAGACGTTTCCCAAGTCCATGCTGTAACGCCTGCCTCACCTTGTCCCATCCGGGCTCCCACCAGGGCCTGCTTCGCTGTCCCATAGCCCAGCTGCCGGCACACCACACTGGCTGCAGCCAGGTCCCACTGCTTGTCACACACGGTGCCCCACTGCCCGTGGAGTAGCACCTCCACCCGGCCCTCACCAGCATGGGTGCCCGCTCGCAGCCGCACTGGGAGCACCTGGGTACAGAGAGCAGCCAGTCAGCAACCCCAGGACACAGCCAGCCCCCTCCTCAAGTGCAAGTGGGGTGGCTGAGTGCTGCTCAGCCCTGGGACTCTCTGTTGGTGGGAGAGGGTGTAGAACTCTGCAAGGGCTCACCTTTCCTGGGGCTGTCTTGTTCTTGCCCTTGCCCTTCTGGACAGCAGGGCCAGGGAGACAGCTGACGATGGCGTGCATGCCGTGGGGACAGGCGTGCTGGCGAGGGGCTGGTGGGGCCATCTGCACAGGGCAGCGGGCCAGGTGGGGCTCTGAGCCCTGACACCGCACCTTGTGCACCCAGAAGCTGTTCTTCTGGATGAAGGTCTTCAGGCTGCCAAGGCAGAGGAGCAGGGCCAGGGTCAGCTCGGTGCCAGGGACTCTCCCCCACCCAGTGCTCATGATGTGTGCCCATTCAAGGTGCCCTGCCCCCCATGCACAGTGCTGAGTCCTACCTGGAGTTGGGGTCCTTCAGCTTCCTGTTCCAGAGCTTTCTGTGGGTGTACAGAGCCAGGAGGTAAGGGAGCATGCTGACACTACCCAACTCTGAAGCCCCTGCCCCATCATTTCTGCCCTCCTCATTGGGAGATACGTCATACTCTCTCCCCAGTGGCAATTACTGTGCCAAGCCCGTCTATACCATGTGTCCCAGCGGGACTGTGTGACTCCTGGCACCGGTAGGGGCTCATTATGGGCTGTATTTATAGTTCCAGGCTGAGACGGGATGGGAGGAACCAAGGAACACTCATCTTTCCTCTCCTTTCTCCCACACTTTGCCAGTCATGATGGTGACCATCCCCAAAGACCTCTGGATGCTGCTGAATCCAACCCTGACCCTTGTCAAAGGCCCGAGAAGGGGATCCAGGCACGGCCAGGCCATACCAGCACCTCGCACACCCACCCATATGTGCAGCCCCTCTCTGACCACTCCTCCAGTCTCTCGTCCCCGTGTGTCCAGCCAGGCCCCTGCCCCTCATGCCCAGGTGCAGCGCGTGTCTCCCGCGTCCCTACCGGTAGAAGCTGGTGTTGATGTGCTTCTCCCGGGGGAAGCCCAGCATCCCGCAGACCACGCGGCTGTTGTTCCTGGTCCAGCTGGCATCACACACCTGCCTCCAGCGCCCGTTGTGCTTCACCTCCACAGCACCCTCCATCACTGGCATGCTCAGCTTGGCCCGTGCCAGGATGGGCTTGAGCCGCACCTCCTCCAGGGTTAGTCCCAACACCTGCCACAGCGGGCATGGGGTGGGTGTGGGGTTCCAGCATCGAGGGCAGAGCGTTCAGAAAAGGGGCCAGGGGAAGGATTAGTGGGACCTGCTCCAGGCACCCCAGTGTACCCTGCTGCCACAGGCGAATGCCATGGGTCCCCACTCACCTCTCCCAGGTGACCAGAGGTGGTAGCCGGGGGGGAGTTGCCAGGCAGGCGCTGTCCTGAGCACACCACACCAGCATCCTCGCCGTGGTGGCAGTCACTGATGCCCCAGCCATTGTGGACACACTCTGCCAGGGAGCCTTCGCTGCCCCCGCATCGCACGTTGTCCAACCAGATGGGGCCTGGGGACACAGCGGCATAGGCCCCATGCAGTGGTGCAGACAGCCCTGCGGGGAGGCTCCCACAGCCAGCGGGAAGCTCACTGCCCTCATCAGGACCCCCTGCCCCCATTCCCCACCTGCCCCCTACCTTCCCCTTGGCCGTAGGTGGCACTGTGGGTCCAGGTGATGGCTGCGGTGTAGCCCAGCTGTCGGCAGGCGACCGTGGCCGCGTGGAAGTCGAAACCGTCATCGCACACAGTGCCCCAGCGCCCCTGGTACAGCACCTCCAGCCGGCCTTCTCCAGCTGGGCCCCGCGGTCCCCCCAGCCGCAGCTGCACCGGGGCCAGCTCCTGCCTGCTGCAGGCCACCCAGCACAGCAACAGCACCAGCAAGATGTGATTTGTGCCAGTTGGCATCACCATCATGGTTCTATGAGTGGATACCTGGGGACAGACCAACAATGAGTCCTTGGGGATCAAGGAAGAATGGGGGTGCAGCTGCAGCCCCCCTCTGCTGCGGGAGCTGGGCAATGGTGGAGGGATCTTGTGCCCTCTTGCATGGCGGTGTCATCCCTGTCCCTGTGCTGTGGGGGATGCATGGGCTGGTCCCTGCCATACTCACAGCACACCACAGCCCTACACCCTTCACCAGGTCACCCAGCTCTGACACAGCCCTCCTGGGCACTCACAGCCATGGGCAGCCTCATGAACATTGCCCTCTTGTTGCTTCCTGTCTGCCCCATGTTTTGGGACATAGGTGACAGCCCCACAGAGCCCCCTTTCATCGTTCACCTGGATTCTCTACTGAAAACCAGGATTCCTCCCCATCTTGTACACAGCCCGGTCCCCGTCACCTCACCTCTTCCCCTGCATCCTCATTCAGAGCATCGGTGGGATTGCTGACCCCCCTCCAGGTACCCAGAACCCCCTCCCAGGGCCACCTCTGGCACTCACCCAGGCAAGGGATGGTGGTGCCGGACCGGCAGCGGTGCGGGACAGGCGGTGGAGAGGGACACGGTGGTGGCGAGTGGACGCAGCGGCAGCGCTGGCGGCAGTGGATCCCGCAGCTCCTGCCTCCCGCTGGGCACCGCCTGCAGCCGCTTTTATGGTGCGGCGGGATGGGCCGACCCGAGGGGGCCCCCCGCCTCCCCGCCTCTGGTCTGGAGCCCAGCCCTGCTCCCTGCCCACCCCCGGCCCTACTCTGCCTCACCGCACACTGGGGCAAACCCGTTCCTGTCCCAAACCATATCCTTTCCCGAGCCGGGAGGATCTGAGCTGTCCCGCACAGTCCCTACCTGCTGCGAGGCTGGACCTCCCCCGAGTCCAAACCCCTCGGTCAGGGATGCTCCTCTCCCTGGGCTGTCCCGCAGCCAGGCACAGCATGGACTTTCTGGAGATGACGAACTGCTATGCCGGGGACACTCCTTGCAGCTTCCCACTCACGCAGTGGTCCAAGTGGGTGCACAGGCATAGGATGCTTGGAGGTGCTGCAGTGGGGCCAGGATTCGGGGGCACAAGGACCACGGCAGGGTATGGGACGGTACCATGAGCCCGGAGCACAATTCTCCCAGGGCTTGGGGCATCACCTATGCCATCCATAAACCAGGCTGGCTGTGGGGGTCCTCAGGCTCAGCCCCGCTCCGTGGGACGTGGAGACTGGTGATGCGAGCCCCCCCCCCCCCGCCCCGACTTGCCCCGGGAGCAACCTCCGGCTTGGGGTGCCGCCAGTCTCCGGGGCACCCTGCTGCCCACACGCCCGCCGTGCCCGCCGGGGATGGGGATAAACAGGAAACCCTGTGCCCCGGCCGTGCCCAGGGACCGGCCAGGAATGTGCCGGTGGCCACCGGACTGTTTGTTTGGAGTCAAAGCAGCCGGATCCTGCCGGGAGGAGCCAGGATCAACACGGCCGGGAATAGCCCGTGAGCTCATCGCCACGTCTCGCAAGGACCTACAGCACCTCTGGGTGTGCAGGGATGCACAACCCTGGGTCCCCCTCGCAGGGGACTCTCATCCCAGCCCTCTGCCTTGGCCGGGATCAGGGCAATGTCCTGAAGCCTCTGCTGCGAGATGAGTCATTGGCCAGCCCCAGAACGGAGGCCACGGAAAGCCCTGGGGAAGGGCAGGGTTGGGGCCAGCAGCGGAGCCCGTGACTCATTCGTCTCGACGTTTTGGAGATCAATTGCTTAAGTGTGAAGCCAGGAACCTCCCCCGAACTCCTCCCCCGGCAGATGCTGGCAGGGGCGCAGGGCAGGCGGGTGCTGGGTCCCGCTCCCAGCTCTGCCTCTGCTCCTGGGGACAGCAAGAAGAGAGAAGTGAGGGGGCTGCTGGGCTCTCCTGCCCCTGGGACCTGCCAGCCTCTTCTCGCAGCAGTACGGGCACTGTGTCCTGTCGCTCATGTGATCGTGGCGGGCTGGAGGTGTCCCCTTTTGCCCTGAGGTGACAGCCAACGAGCTCCTCATCTCCCTCGGGGCTCACTGGGTGCCAGCACCTGCAATCCCGGGCAGCCAGCGTCGGCAGCAGCTAAAAATACGCGGCCGGCAGCAGGGCACCCCTGCGCGGGAAGCTGTGGGCGGCGGGCGGCGTGCGGGGCTATTCTCAGAGGGCTGCGGGACTATTCCTGGCCGGTCAATATTGATTCAGCCAGCTCAGGTGCAGCAGCTCGCCCTGTCAGCACCGTATTTAGGGCCCGGCAGGAGGCGAGGCGGGCGGCTGAATCGGGAGCATTGTCTGGCGGAGGAAGAGGGCAGGGAGAGGATGTGAGCTCTGTAATCTGCAGCCAGCGGCTCCCGGCAGCAGCCCGGGCGAGGGGCACACCCCGAGCCTGCTGCGGCTGAGGAGTGGCCAGCACGGAACATCTGCCCGGGGGACGGGCCCAGAACACGTGCAGGCAGCTTCCGTCGGGAATAGGAGCGTGTGTGAGGCACGAGGGGACGGCTGCTGCTCCTGGCTCCTGTGGTTTCTGAGCTGCTGGGCACGTGTCTGCTGTACACACAGCCACCAAGAGCCGGGGACTGAGGACAGCTGGGGACTTCAGGTACCAAAGCAGTACCCAGGCAGGTCCCTGCTTGTTCTCAGGATGGTCTGGACCTGCCCGAAGCTGCGAAGCTCAATACAAACAGCCCTGCATGCATCTGACTCTGCATCAATGAGCAGAGGAGAGGATGAGGGGCTGTTTGTCCCTGTTCACTACTCTGAAATGTGCCTGTGCTCTCTGGCAACTCCCCCAAGGCTGCTTTACCAGCAAGTGTGGATAACACAGTAGGAACTGCATGAGTTGCTCAAAAAAACAAAGTTATGAGTGCTCATGACAGAGCCCAGGCCAGGGTTTATTTCCATGGGCACAGGCAGGAGCTGAGTGAGGCTTGCCGTGGTCATGCAGGGTCCAGGAGCCACTGGGGCAAGGCTGGGTTGTGGCAGGCTGGGAGCAGCCATCTGTTCAAGGTGATGGTAGCAGCTGTGAGCACAAGGGACCCTGCCAGCCTACACCCAGCTCTCAGATGCTGCTGCTGCCCTGAGGTACTGGAAAATCAAGTTGGGGATGGGCAGGGCTCTGCATGGCATCAGTAGGGCATGCTGCTGTTGCAACCCTGCGTTGGAGAAGTCAGTTTCACCAATCTCGTCAGAGATGCCTGAAATCCTTGATAGCCACCTGGGCAGCATTGCGTCCTGCTGCTCCCATCACTCCTCCTCCTGCAAGAAAGGAGAAATGGGGAATGCTGGTGTACCTCTTCCACATGCCCCTTTCTTCCTTCTGCAGGCCTCCATGAGGGTCCTAGCTCCCAGCTCTACTCACCAGGGTGGGCTCCACTTCCACACAGGTACAGGCCAGGAATTGGGGACCGGTAGCCAGAGTAGGATGGGGCTGGCCGGGCAAAGTACAGCTGGTCCAGAGACATCCCTCCATGGAAGATGTTCTGCCAAGAGAGCTTTGTGAGCTAGCTGTGCCTGGCCCAGGCCCGTGTGCACACTAGCACTGGCACCAGAGTGATGCTCAGACTTGACACCCATGGTACCCACTCCACCAGGCAGCCCAAAGATCCTCTCCAGGTCTGGTGGCGTCAGGATGTCCCTGCCAATGACAGATGCCTTGAAGCCTGGGGCATAGTCTTCGATGCAGTCAAACACTGGAGAAAGATAGACTAGTGGTGGGCAGCCCGGGGGACATGGTAGCAAACCCCTGTGCAGCTCCAGGGCAGCTCTGCCCATGGGTGCTCCTGGGGTCTATGTGTGCATTTCGTACCCCTGTCTGCATATGCATTTCTGGCCTGCTCGTCCCAGGACCGACCGCCTGCCAGCATGGACGGGGTGTACTGCGTGAAGAGGGACACAACGTGGCAGCCTGGCGGGGCCAGCCCTGGGTCCAGCGCTGAGGGAATGCAGAGCTCGATCATGGGCCTGAGGGAGCAGTACACCAACTGGGCAGGCAGAGGGGGACCCAGCCATTGCACACCTCCTTCCCCAGCATGCTATGAGTGTCGTGTCCCTTCCCCAGTGCACCAAGGTGTGCCAGTACAGGCTCCTACCTGCTGGAGGGGTGCCCGTGGGCAGCCTCAGTGAATGCCTGATGCAGGAGCTGGGTGCCCTCGCAGTTGAGGTGTATGGAGCACTGGTGGTGGGGCAGGGGCCGGCCGTCGCGGGCATTGGGGGCAGCCAGGAAGCTGGGCAGCTGATCCACCGCCACTGGGCATGGAATGTGGAGATGGAGGAAGTGGAGTGCAGCCTCTTGCTGAGCCTGGCACCAATGTTCCTCCAGCAGGGATGGCAGTGGAAGTGTCCTTGCTGGTACCTACCGTTGATCTTGGTGACAGGTGAGCGTGTGTCAAGCTGCCTGATCCGCTGGACAAAATCCTTCGGCAGCTTCTCCTAGGGTGGGATATACCAGTGCAGAGGCTGGCTGTGAGAGGCAGTGAGAATGGGGCTATTCCAACATGCCAAGCCCCCACCAGGCCCATGCACTCCATACCTGAGGAATAAGTTCCAGAAAGGTGATTTGCGGAGAGGCATTGGACAGCACCAGTTTGCTCCTCACCTCTGTCCCATCCTGCAGCGCGACACCCTGCGCCTCCCCGTCACTGCCCAGCAGCACGTGGCACACTGCCTGGGCACGTACAGGGGACAAGACTTTACCGAGAGCATCCCTGCTGCCTGCGGGGATGGCCAAGCAGCTTCCCTGTCCCAGACACCCCGTACCTTCTCAGCAAAGATGTGGGCTCCCCGGGCAGTGGCTGCCTGGGCGATGGCCTGGGACAGGGCTCCCATGCCACCTGCCACGTAGCCCCAGGCCCCCCGCCGTCCCTCCAGCTCACCCATGACGTGGTGCAACAGCACATACCTGCGGTAGCAGGACCTCGAATTAGCTGCTGGCTGAGGGGATGGATCTGTCCCCTGCATGAGTAGTGAGGGTGGTGCCACAGCCCCCACATCCTCCCCATGGGACCATGCCACCTCATGGGATGTCAACTCAGTTACAGGGAGCACACACCAGCCAGGACTCAGCCCAGCCCGGGGCCAGAAGTGCCCAGACAGTGAAGGAATAAGTGGGGGCCGCTGAGCAGAGCCATATGGCAGGGCTGGGGGCAGCCCCTTGCCCAGCACCAACCCCTGAGGAACCCTCCCTGTGCAGGCAGTGGGAGGGAGAGGCGGGGGGGCAGGGCATGGGGTACAGTTGTGCAGCAGAGCCAAGCACAGACTATGGCAGGAGGGGACAGTGCAGGCATGCGCCCCGGGGGAAGGGTCCCTCACCCACTGCCGGGGGTGTGTGGGCTGGTCATGGCTCCAATCACAGCATCAGTAGCCAGAGTTGCCTTCAGGGGTTCTGACTCAAACCAGTGATCCAGGATCTGGCCCAGGAAAAAGAGAGCATGCCAGACTTGGGGTGGGGAGCTGCCACAGCATCCTGGCAGTCAGGAGAGGCAGTGGGTATTTGCACACCAGCACTGCCAGCACGCACCTTGGAGATGGGAGCTGTGAGCACCTCGTAATAGTGGGGCAGCTGCCGCCCCAGTGCCAGCCCTGGGGGTGGAGAGGTGGTGTGAGACCTGCGTGGCTGTGCCAGGGCTGGCTACTGGTTCCCAGCTCAGTTTGGAGGTCAGTCAGTGGGACCAAGGTGAGCAAGCCCACCAGAGCCTGCCAGTCCAGACAGGGCTCCTGAGGAGGCTCTGCATTGCCCATCCCAGGTGCCAGCAAACACCCCTTTGCTGTTGGAGTTCCCTGGCATCCCAGATGTACCTGCCTGCAGCAAGGGCTTCAGGGTTCGCAGGTTCCTGAGCTGCTGGAGCAGGGAACCCTTTCCCAGGGCAGATGTATCCACTGGAGGGGCATCCAGCAGTGGGTCGAGGGCCAACACCATGTGCCCCATGAACGCCTCATACTCAGGGTAGACCTGGAAGGAGACAGACGGTGGACAACAAGGACTGCACCATGGTGAGTGCAATGGATATTCCACCCAGGAGCCTCCCTGCCACTCCAGGGGTAGGGCAGCCCCTCGTGGGTTTTGTTGTGCCAGGTGCATGTCCCTGGTGGTACCTGGGCATCCTTCTGGGAGAACTGAGCAATCTGCTGCTGAGTCTGGGCCATGTCATGTCCCAGTAGAAGGGAGCGAGGGGGGCTCCTGTCCTCCAGCATTGGAGTGAAGGAGTAGGGGTCCCGTGGGAACACCCTCAGACCATGCCGCTGCAAGACAGGGATGTCCCCACTGCAGGACCCACTCTGCAGGGACAGCCTGGCAGCAGGGTCCCCCTGCTTGCATGCTGTGAGTTGCCAGCAGCCCAGCAAAGGGTGGGTGCCAGTACCTGCAGCTCCAGATCAGCATAGATTTGTGGTCGCAGCAGGCTGAGCAGATATGATGCCCGGGAGAACTTGAACCCTGGAACGTGTGGGCTGGTGGGGAATGTCCACCACCAGGGCTGGCCAGGACCAGGGGGACAAGGGGCATGCCGAGGTACCTGGCACAATCTCCTCGGTGACGGCCGCGCCGCCCAGCACGTGGCGCTTCTCCAGCACAGCTGTGCGCAGCCCTGCCTGCTGCAGGTAGGCAGCCTGTGGGGAGCACGGCACACACTGCCCATCCCTCCAGCCGGGATGTCACTGCCAGTGTGAGCACCCTCTTGCACATGGTGCCCCCCTCACTAGGGAGGGCCTGTGGGAGCCCCAGTCCCATGGACACTGCCACCAAAGCCCTCCCTTGCTCACAGCACAGCCCCTTCCCAGTCACTTGCTGTGCCCTGTGGATGGAGGACAGGCAGCACGCCACTCTAGGTACTCACTGCCACCAGCCCGTTGTGCCCTGCAAGAAGAGAGATGAGCAGAGCCCAGTGTTAGTGATGGGCCCACAGCATAGGGCACCCTGCCGTGCCTGGGGCATGGGGCTCTCACAGCCACCCCAATAACAGGCTCCAGACACAGAGATACAGGTGACAAGGAGAATCCTCCCCCAGCCCTACAGCCCTAGTCCTAATGGTGCAACAGAGGAGGACAAAAGTGCTCAAGGCAGATGCTCCAACAGTACTCGGTATGCTGGGGGGCTGCAATTTGCGCCAGACCCCTGCGTCGTCCCAGGCACGAGCAGTCTGGAGGTTTGCAATGCGTCCAGCACTACTGTGGTCCCCACCCAGCTGCTCCTGTGCTACCTGCCCTGCGGGGAGGGCAGATGTGCGTCCCCACCGGCTGCCCGCAGCTCGACTCTTGCTCCCTTGCTCCGTTACCTGCGCCGATCACCACCGCATCGTATTCGAGCTGCAGCTGGGCTGCAGCCCCGGCACGGGCCAGACGCGCTGCTGGCGGCCCCAGGGACAGACGGCGGCGCTGCGGCCGGCGGGACGAGCAGAGCCGACTCAGCCTGCCCCGCAGCCCGGCTGCCACCGCCCCGCAGCCTCCGGCCATGGCCGCCCCGCGTCCGGCAGCCGCGACTTTGCTGTCCCGGCGGAACTTCTCCCAGGGCTTCCGGGCACGGGGAGGGGACGGGGGGCCAGGGCAGGGACCGCCCTGGGGAGGCGGAGAGGCCGGTCCGGAGCGGGGCGGGCGCCGAGCGCTGCCGGACCCTGGCGCAGCTCAGCCGGGGCCGGAGCGGAGCCGCAGCGCTGAGGAGGGGTCAGAGCCTGCCTGGGGCTCAGCAGCAGCTCCCCAGGCTGCACTCCAGGAAGGGGCTGAGCAGGCTGGCGGGGGCCCGAGAGCCCCCTCGCCCAGCTCCCGTTGTGCTCCGGGGATGAGCCAGAGGCACGTGGCTGGGCAGGACAGACGGAATTTGGACCCCAAGCGCAGCCCTGAAAGCAGCAGGAAAAGGGGCAGTTCGGGACTGTGCTCGGCTTTGAGTCCAGAACTACTGCTCAGCAGGGCAAATTCCAGCTCAGCAGGATGGGGCAAAGGCCCTGTCATGGTCCAGTGCTCTCTGAATTGCCGTCCCCAGCTCCAGCGAGTGGCATGGGAGCAACAAGGGGCAGCGGCTACCTGAGTCCCTCGGGGCTGGCCCCATTCCCAGCTGTACTTGAGGTTTGGAGTGCACTGAGCCCAGACGTGCCTGGGAAACACATAAGCTGCCTCAGGATTTACTCACTGTTCCCAGCTAAACTCAGAGCTGTGGCTAACAGATGCCTGGGTGTGGAGAAGGGGGTGCAGGATGGGCTGCATCTCCCCAGAGACTGGCAAACCTCTGAGGGCCATGCACCCCACATTTGGGGGTGAGGGGGAAGGGGGATGCACCCTAGACCATTGCTCCAGTCAGGTTTGGCTAGGCTATCTTGATCTCTGGCCAAAGCCTCGCAGCAATGCCAAGCTAACATTATAAATCCTGCTCTGGAAATGCACTTTTCAGCAAGACAGTGATTTGCCAACAACCTCTTGGCCTCCTTCTCCATCTGTCCCCTGAGGCTGCTGGGTGGCAGTGAAAACCATGGGGAATGGGAAAAGGGAGAGTGCCAGCCCTGGCCAGGCTGAAGGATGGGAAGGTTGCCTATCTCTGCCCACAGGCACAATCCATAGCATGGCACACAGACACTGAGAAAGCAACCCAGGCTCTAGGAACACCCACACACCCACTTTAATCCCGGCCCCAAGGTGGCTGGAGGCAGCTCAGAGCAGAGGGATGCGGGATGGCTCCCAGAGGCGCCGGGCCAAGTCGTAGGCCTGCTGGACCACGAGCTCGGAGGGGATGATGCCCAGGTGCACGGTCAGCAGCTCATAGCACTTCACTACCTCTGCCTGGTGGTTCTTGCTGTAATAACGCAGCAACTTCCTGGGGAGGAGAGGACAGGGGCTTGTCAGGTACAGTGCACGTAGGCAGCCCCTTTCTAACGACCTTCCCTCTATAAAGCACTTTGCAAGGACACAGCAAAACCATTGGCACCAGGCTGGGAGATGGGCTGGTGTAACTCCACTGACACCACAACACTGGCATCCTGGCATCACTCACAGGGACCTGTGTGCCATCACAGCTTTGAGCCCTGGTGACAAACCATAGGGCTGGCAACTGCTCACCTGTAGTAGTCCCCTGCAAGCATCCCAATGGGAGCAGAATCATCAGAAAGGACTGGTACCTCCACCACCTCCAGCTTGTAGCCCTGGGGAGAAATGACAGCAGAGGCAGGAGCTGGGGTGGGACCACCGAGCCGTCAGAGCTGGCTAGGCCTACAGCCTGCTCCCTGCCCCAGGGAAAGAGGGCTCAGCCCCTTCCTGGCCCCACATACCATCTCATTCTCAAACCAGAGGAAATAGGAGCAGCAGTAGTCACCATCCTGCAGCACCAGTGTTGTATAGCCCTTCTGTAGGTATCGCCGGGCCAGTGTGATCAGGGACCAGACCTGGGGGACAAGGGGCACCTGAAGCCTGAGCAGAAACCCCTCCAATTTCCACCCTCTTCTGCGGTTCCCATCCCATGAGCAGTACCTTTTTCTTGATGAAGGTAGCCAGGGGACCCTTGCCCAGCTCTGAACTGGACTTCTCTGTCACACTGAGTGATGGTGCCATCATTTGTCCAGCTGTGCGGTCCACATAGATGAAGTGCACGAGACCAGGGAAGTCCTCCAGGTATGTGGGATGGGTTAAGGGTGTCCAACAACTTTGGTGCCCTTCCAGGACAGCTCCTGAGCTTCGGGAAACCACCTTTGCCCATTACACTCCTCCCCTTGATGTCGGTACCAGGGGACAGGGTCCCACTCCCACATCTGCTACCCCCTTAGGGCCACCCCGTTGCCAGGCTGGGTCCCCACTGCAGAGATGGGTATGACACCATGGTGATATTGCGCCTGCTCTTCACCAGCAGGAAGTCCCGCCAGTCCAGCAGCTTCTCCCTGCCGAGAAGAGGCACGGTGAGAGGCCAGGACCCACCAGCCCCAGCACAGCTGGGTGTGGGGCAGCCCCCTGGCAATGCTGACCATCCCCATGCACTCACCTCATCAATTTCTGAGCACGGTCCCGCAGCCCTTGGGACAGGCTGTGGCCAGCAGAGGTCAGGAAGAGCTGGCGGTACACGGAGCAGAGCTGCCGCTTCACATTGGCCACTGACTGCAGCAGCCTGAGCCAGGGGACACAGACCAGTTTGGACACTGGGTCCCCAGAACTGCAGAGACAGCTGTGCTGGTCCCCAGGCTGGGAAAGGTCCCTGCCTGTCCCAGAGACTTTCCCTGGCTTCCCCCTACTCACTCTAGGGAGCTCCCAGGCTCACTCCGTGAAAAGATCTTGTTCTTAAAGTCCAACCAGGTGTTCTGCAACTAGAACGAGACAGGACTGTGTCAGGCTGTGGAGAAAACAGGACAGGGTCCTCATGTTCCCACTCCTACCTGGATGTCCTGTCCACTCAACTTCTTTACAAATTTGTCCATGCGCTGCCGCAGCTCAGCGAGGAATGGGTAGGAGCGTGTGACTCCCACCTCTGGTCCCTCTTCCAGCTTCTTCTCCAGCACCAAGAAACCATCCAGCAGTTGGTACAAGGTGATGGCCACCTGGGTCATGGGGCCCTGCCAAGGAAGGGACAGGTGTGTCAGGAAGGACCCAGTCCCATATAACGTCCCTCACCTCAGAGGCAGCTCACCTTGGTCAGGAGCACAAGGGAGATGCCTGGCCAGAGCGGGAGGCAGTGCATGGTGTGTGGCAGCAAGGGGCAGTAACCTTCCCGCAGGCTGGCATCCAGAAAGATCCTTCTGGGGTTTGAAGCTTCAGGGACCAGAGGCCCCAAGGTCTGGAGCAAGTCCTCTGCCATCTGGGAAAACAGGGGAGATACTCAGTCCCCTGTAGGGATGAGACAGCTCACACCAAGAATGCTCTGTAGGGATGTAGCATTGCCTTGAAAGCTGCAACCAGGCAAGACAGAACCAAAAGAGCTGGAGGGGCCAGGTAGGAAAAGATCAGCAGTGAGGAAAGTGCCCAGGGACCCCAAAGGAGCAGCAGAGAAGAAGACTGTTGCAAAGACAAAGTTTGCAAATGCCTTAAATGGAGGCCAGTGTTTGCTGCAGTGTGTGAGGTGTTGCAGCATCCATCAGGGAAGCAGAAAGCCCAATGGCAGCAGAGGGAGACACTGCTCTGAGGCAGCCCTGCTCCCTCCCTGCTGACAGCTCGTTGTAAGCAATGCCTTCGAGAAGGAGATTACAGCTGTCACAATTATGCACAACATGCGGGACACAGGACACCCACAGCTGTAGCACAGCAAGAGACGAGTGACAAGGACTGGAATCTGCAAAGGGCAGGCTGGTGAGGTGTGGAGCTGGGAGGTGTTGCAGGGCTCTGTGCTCACCTGGACATCTGCAGCATCCACCTCCCCGATGCTCAGCATCTCAGCACCCTCTGACCAGCTCTCACTGCCTGCAGAAAACAGGGCAGGGCACCCTTCCAGCCCCCCTCAGAGCCCTGGGGCCTCAGCAGGCCTGGGGGTGTGGGCACAGCTGCTGCCCAGCTGGGCACTCACCTGTACTGTGCCGGCCTGGCGAGGGCTCAGGTGTGTAGTACACCTCAGGCACAGAGAGATCATCTGTGTCCTGCCAGCAAAAACAAATGGGTCAGCGATAGCAGCAATACAGGCAGCCCTCCCAGCAATCCCACCCTGCAACTTCTGATATCAAGGACTCACTTGGTCATCCGAGTCCTTCTCTGCAGCTCCATGGGAGCCAGGGCCACTCACAGGAATGCTCTCACTTCTCTTGGGTCCCTGAGGAAGAACATTCCCTGCTGTGGCCTTTCAAAAAGAGAGAAAAAACCCCTCAGCCCCAGCTGTCAAGGCATCGCCCCATTGGAGCACCCTGACTTGCTGCACCCCCAGTCCTGCTCTGGAGCACCTGTGGGCCAAGCTCCTCCTCAGCACTCTGACTGGGGTACAGGTCCTGAACCAGGAGGATGAGGACAAGCAGGTCGGCAGGGCGGATGGAGCTGGCGTTGCGGCTGCAGGCCAGAGGAGGGACAGGTCAGCTGGGAGGACAAATGGCTGCCCTGGGGAGGATGGTGGGGCTGGGCGCACCTGGAGTAGAAGGCCAGCAGCTTGGTGTGTACCAGGATGAAGGCATGGCCCACTTCATCCCCGCCACGCTCAGGGCTGGTGTTGATGTACTGTACCACTTGACGCTCCAGGAACTCGATGCACTGCTCACACAGCTGAGGATGGATCAGCCGCTCCACGGCCTGTGGTGCAGGAGGAGGGCAGGCTGCTGAGCTCCCTCAGCACAGCCTTACAGTCCCAGGGGTGGGTCTGAGCTTCCATTGCCCCAGGGAGCTGACTGAAAATCTCCAGCCTACTGCCTTTTCCCACATCCTGGGACTCCACGCAGCCTCCCACTCCTGGAACACTCCAAAAGTGAGGGACAGCCCAGAGCGTTGGTACCTCCACTGCAAAGCTCTGGTCCTCCTCCCGCAGGTGGCTGTAGGTCTCCAGCAGGCCCCGCAGCAGGCTCCACACACGCTCCCGCTGCTCTGAATCAGCCGGCCGCAGCCTGCAGCCATCACAAGAGTGTAACTCATAGGT